ATGTACCATGTAGTCTGAGGATTGGGAGGAAAGGTTGAAAATCCTGGCATCACAGACTCCAATGCAGCTGTTTGGTCTCCAGGTTTCCTAACTGTAACTCGCTGGGGGAGTGCTCCATCCCTTTCTCTGTCTTGCTCCTTACCTCCCACATTTTCAGTTCCTGGGCTTGCAACTGCTCTTTCTCCATAATTTTCACCTTCAGCTCTTCCAGGTTGGTGTTAATGGAGAGTGTCTGCAGTGCTTCCAAGTTAACCACTCGGCCAAACTTCGTCATCATCAGCTGATTACAGTTTTCTTGCAGCCCTAACAGGAAAGTCCACACATTAAGATGGACATGTCTTCTGGGCCCTCTGAACATTCATTTGTAAGCTCATAGGGTCCTTTTATCAGAGGATCTCAAGCATTTATTGCATTGTTCTACTTATAAGTCAATCTTTCTTTTTCTTCTAAAAGAACCATAAAAGTGCCAACCCATATACGGGGTCTGTGTATAATTGCCCCCCACTTTTTCCACCCAGTCTTGATTATTGCACTTGCAATAATTTGTGCACTCAGTAAAAATATCAAGTCAGAATTTTTTTCAGTGCCATTTTGACTTCAGTATTTTTAGTGCATTTTTATCACAAACTCACTGGGTCTATAGCAGTACTTACTGGGTTACATTATACAGATAAGCTGTTTTTCATAAATTTGAACTATGGGGTCAACTTATAATCAGAACAGCATGGCATAAGCATTAATTCATGCAAGTCTCTCTACGCCTTCATCTGGTAGCGTGGTGATATGAGAGGTGTGTGGACATATGCAGCAATTGAACCATTCCACAACATCACTGATTGGGAACCGGTTCACAATTGTGTGAGGTGCTGTGACTGACACCAGGGGATGGCACTGAGCATCCAGACCAGCATGCCTGGCAGTGGGAGAGTTGGGGGGTGGGGGCAGTGCTTGCACCCACACTTGGGGAGTTCCAGGGGGTGGATGACCTGTGGCTAGGAGCAGTTTCACTTTTCTGTTTTTCCTTGTTTCCTAAACATAAGTTCAGTAAACTTCAGTAACCTGCAAATGACCAAAGTCTGCAGTGTGCTTGCCCGACTTGGGGAAGGGACAGGATAGAAAGCCGGGAGTTCTTGGACCTATGCTTGGTTCCTGGGGCATGACAAGGGGCTACAATTGAGTAGGGAGTGAGGATGCAGCTGGTTGTTAGCATTTATTGAAGGAGCAGTGCAAGGGAGCTCACTGATAAAAAGTGCGAAGAAAAGGAAAACAAAGGGGGCAGTAAAGTCCTGGCTGTATACCAGAGCACTGAGTTGCAATAGTGTCGGAGAGGTGTGGGAAGGATAAGAAGTAATGCAGTGTGGGATGCTTAGAGGAAAACCAAACCCATGTTACAGTATACTTGGTGGCCACAGAGAGTGCACCAGTTCAAAACAGTACCATATTTTTCTCACATACAACACACTCACAAATCTAATAGGTACCTTGTTTTTGAAAACCACATTTTTTCAGTTATGGCTGCATTGAGTAGGGACACCCACATTTGCAGCTGACTCACCCTCTCTTTCCTGCAAAACTAAAGTTGAATCCCTAGCTGCTGCCGAAGACTAGTCTCCATGGGCATGTCCAGATGAGCACGGACGTGCAGTAAGTGGTGCTGCAGACCCATCTGCGGTACCACACACTGCACATACAGGCATTCCCCATGCTGCTAGTCCAGAGAACCCAGAGTCAAAAACCCCCATGCCTAAACAAAAACATGCTCCAGCTGCAGCTGCTGGCCAAGCTTTCTGCTGTGGCTGCAGCCCTGGGAGGCCCCCAGGACCCCAGGTAAGGCTGCTGGGGCCAGCTCAGTTACCCCACCCAGGGAAACCTGCTTTGCAAGGTGTGTCACTGCTACTGGTCCCCAGGGAAACAAATGGCCACTCTTGTCTGAATGTGCCCCATAGGAGCATCCACATTTTTAAAGAGTTACAGAATCTGTGGTAGATAGCTAAAGAGGCTTTGAAACAAAGACACGTGGAACAGCTAGTAGACAGCAAAGCTGCCCTAAGCAAGGTAGATTTGATAAGTGGAACATTAGGACCAATAAAATGGAGATACAATTGTTAACACCTGAAGAGTGAAGAACACTCTGAAAGCCATTATGTCAACTGACTCCCTCATCAGACTGAACAGTAACACCACAGGTGCTGCACTGTAAAACAGGAATCAAACTGCAGTGTTTCCAACCTGAGACAAAAATCAGCTTCGCTGCTTCATACATGCACCACAATTTTGGGGGGGCGTGATTTATGGGGAAAATGCATGGATTTTATGTGAGGAAATACAGTACTTGATTCTCTAGGTCCATGGTTCTCCACCTTTTTCAGACTTAAAGTACGCTCTACACATTTCACGCATTTTTTGACTACAGAAAAATAATACAGCAATTCTCCTGTTGCAAAGAACTCAGAAAGACTACAATGGGCAAGATTCCTATTTGAAATCTCTGGGTTTAACTTGTGGATCAAGTATGCACACCTAGCAATGCCAACATTGCTTAGCACCCCACAATTGCCCTAAAAGGATGTTAAGGCATCCCAGGGTGCTGCAGCAGCCTGATTGAAAATCACTGATCCAGGTACACTTTTGAACCATTCCAGGCAAATTTAAACTGGCTTCACAGGCTAGTACACCTGTCCACTTTAGGGTTAGACCACATTCAAAGTGTTCTGTGTATCCATGCCCTAAGGAAACTGTTCTAGCACCTTGCTAGTCCTGTTTATTTTTCCTGTGAGCTCATCATCAGATTTTCCATGATAATCAACCAGGATTACAGTGCTGGGGAAGGGGTAACACAGACAGCTCATGAATTAACTCAGGCTAGCAATGCATATTCCTTCTGATTGTCTGCAAGTGAGACGTGCTGGCTGTGCACACAGGAAGTGGAAGGAGTACTGTGTGCCTTGTGCGAAGCAGCTGAAACCCAAGTGTTCAGTCACTCACGTTCAATCCGTATCTCCATCTCCCTTCTGTCCCGGATGAGTTGCTTATGCTGTTCCCGGGCCTTCTTGTAGAGTTCCCTCTGATCTGTCTTCTCTTGCTGCAGGACCATGATCCTCTGCTGAAGATATTCTAGGGACTGGTTGGTAAATACCAAAGCCTGGCAGAAGTCACTAGGTAACTCCCCATTTACTAAATACTCCACCTGCCAGAAAGAGCCAAAGGCAAAGCTGTTTATTACACTGTGCTGTGAATTCAAAGGACCCATCTGGCTGGCAGACAAGTAGTTATGCATACCATCACATAAGGACTGGCTGTGTTTTTTAAGCACAGTTGTCTGAGAATGGGCCAGAGGAAGACAATTCCCAATGTGGTGGCCACAAGCATTGACAAAAACAGGTGAGAGAGCCCTGAATGGACTCATATCTCAGAGGCTGCCTCCATCCTCCTCTAGCGACTGGAACAGAGGGAAGGAAATGCCTTATACCTAAGTGACTCTGCTTTTAGGCAGTCTGGTGTCTTCAGAACTATAAGACCAATCTTGGCACCTTTCTGATTTTTAATGAGGAAAATGGAGATGCCAGGGTGTGCTGGACCTGCCCCAGAGGTGACTAGGCTAGGGCAGTGGTGTTGTCAAGGACTGCCCTGGTTTTCAACAGCCTCTGAATCAACCTCAGAACAAGGCAAACTAAAGGACCCACCTAGAGAAACCAACACCACTGTATCAAGTTTGCCTCCCCATTTTTGAGTCACCAGATCCCATTAAGGCAACATGTGTGTAAATTAGCCTATTGTGACCCATCCAGAGGTCCTTATCTGGACAAAGCTTCCAACAGGCATAATGAGAACTTTGCCCAAGATCCAGGATCAAGACCACAGAAGTGTTTTGGGTGCATATCTGCAGCACACGAGGCACATGGTCACTGCCTAGCCTTGCTACTCCTCCTCTGGCACAGGCATAAGGGGCAAACAATAAGCACCTGAAATCCCGGGTCAGTCCAGGGCACCTAACTCCATGGAGAATAATTGTAAGCCAGAAATCTTGGGCCTGTGAGACTGGTAATACTACTGGCTCTGTACTGGACCGTCCCTGGCTGGCACTTTCTTGCTGCTTCTAAGCCAGAGGTAATAAACAGTAGCGCACTCCTGTGTCACCTGATGTAGCTTCAGAGGCACTACTACATGCAGCTCATTCACTCTCTGCTGCTTCTCCCGCTGATAGGCTTCCAGGGCTCCCTCGGCGGTGTCAAGGCTGGCTTCTACCACTTTCACCTGCAGGAAGCCAAGCCATGGACAAATGTGAAAATTTTGTAATCTACAATTTAACCAGCCATTGTGGCCATGGCCATAGAAGGACACCCTGGGATGGGCTTAGATGTGTGGTCTCAAGCCCCCGGTTTTAGAAGGGGTTGGGTTCTGCATGGGAGTGGTGGCAACTGTTGCTCAATTGGAAGAGCATGCAGTGAGGAAGGGCCACATTAGTTGGTTCTGTCTTGTCATCTGTAGAGCACATCCCTGCCCAGCAAAAGGATCATCAGTTTTTTAAACTGAGCTTCCATGCAGAATGTGTCTCTGCAAGGATGACCCCTTATTACCAAATAAGCTCTCTTGCTATACATATTGAAGGACAACTACTTCATGCAATAATTAGAGCAGGCTCTCACTTCCGCTACCCCGCATAATCCACAAGGCCGCAGGAGCGAGGAGCTGAAGTCTGGTTGTGTCTACACATCAGCAACAGGATTGTGTCACTGTGTTCTGCTCGGAAATGTTTATTGATTCTGTCTGAGAAGGCAAGAGCCTGGCTAGGCTGGCAGAACCCAGGGTGAATTTGTGGTGTCGGCAGTTAGGAAAGGCTTAAAAAAAACCCACTTGTAAACTGAGTACATTTGCTGAAACACCCAGCACAGAAAGAACACGGAATTTCAGAGCAAGTTAAAATTGGAAGATGAGAGCACAAAAACAACCATTTAGAGATAATTAAACTTTGGTTGGGGGGTTATTTTGTTTTTTAAAAAAGAACATTGCAACCAGGCTGAGGTTTATTGAATGATTACTACAGCAAGTGCAGTGGAAATATCTAAAGAGAAGATTTTTCTGAAGTTCATTTGCTCTTACTGCAAAGGATGTATGTACACACAAGGACACAAACTTCACTCTCCAAAACCTTACTCTTGAAATGGCTATGGCATAAGGCAAATGATGCAGCAGCCGAAGAACCTGAATTCTCAGAGTGGATCCAGTGACTTCAATGGCGCTATGCTGGTTTTCCCCAGTGAAGAATCTACCTTTATATCTTTACACTGGGACCAAACACAGGAAGATACACAGGGTAATACATTTTCAGATGCATCATGCAGTCAAATTACAAAACAGAGATCACAGCAAAAAACCATGGCAATGTTTTTCCTCTCTCCAGTGATCCATTACATCCCTGAGTGCACAACACATGCTCCATACAGGGCTGGCTTCACCAGATACTAGCAGCATGAAATGCTGCGACTGTAGCAACACACAACAATGCCACAAAGTACTTTAGAGCAGGACAAAAAGACCATTGTGCCAAACTGTTAGGCAAGGGGGTATTTCTGTGAGCAGAATACCATTACTTTCCTTGCAGTTTTGCCTGGGATTTCTTGGGTTTAGCATCTAAAAATATTGTTCTAGTAATCATCCAGTAAACTTCAGCTTTCTCAAAGTTAGGCTAAGCTGAGCCCCAAGATACTGCAGCTTGACAAAGTAGTAGCCAACCTAGCCTGGGTATGTCTATGCTATACTGCAGTCTTCAACATAAATACTGCCTGAGAGAGGTGAAGCCCTTGGGTTTCAATCCCAACAAAAAAATGACAATTCCAGGAACATGGTATTCCCACCTGCCCACACCTGGCTGTGGTGTGCTGGGAGACTGGGAAATTATGCTACCTTTTTAGCCAAAGCATCATATTCTTTTCTGAGGTTTTCAATAACTTTCTTCTCTTCTCCTAAGGCCTCCTCAATGTCCAATCGCTTCTCACGGAGCTGAAGAGTGTTTTCAAAGAGCGCTTCATCACAATCTGAGAAGGAAGGGCAAGGTTCAGATTAAACCAGTAGGCTTTGGCCTAGTTTGGATTTTGTTACAATTATAATCTGAGCTGGTAGCTCCCCAGGGAGATGAAGGTTAGGCTGCCCAGCACTTCCCACTACAAGACCTCATTTTCAATTGCTTATACATTTGCCAAACATGAACTATTTAGGTTGAAATCTTTTTTATGTTTGCTTCAGACTGGGTTTCTTTTAATCTCAGTTGAAACAGTGCAGCTGTTTCCAGAAATGAGGACAGAACAAAATAAGGTGTTTTGCCAGTACTGAAAGTCAAACGCTCCCAAGTTAAGAAATACTGAAAGTAAGGTTTCCTGAGCAACCTTACTTCAGGAGACAACTATGTATTACCAGAACGCATACTAATTTTCCCATGGGACCCCTCCCTTATCCAGTGCACAGATCAGACCTGCTCCTGGGATGAATCATAGTTGTGTGGTGAAGGAGGCTGTGATGTGGAAGGAAAAAATATGGATACTAATACCTCCATCAAAATCATAAAAATTAGTGATAAAAAATATGCCTAGGCAACCTGCTTATGAAGTCTAACAAACTAGCCTAAAAAAACCCAACCTTAGCAAAGGGTCATAAAAACATATCGGCCTGAGCTCAGAAATCCACAAATAATTTTACTCACCAAAAATACAAAAATCCCAACTTTCTGAAAAGGGAGGTAGGAGTTTGCAGAAATGCTGTATAGACCAATTTATTTGAAAATAAATCCCTGAATCTTTGCTGCCAAATCTAAGAAACAGCCAGCAATACTTCCTCAAACCACGAGGTGGTAGGAAAGTACTTAATTTACCCACCAAATTCAGAGCCATCCAGGATTTCCCCGGTTTGGAGAAATACAATCCTAGCAAACAAGCCTATTCTTTGGGTTTCCATGGTGAGTGTATACATTACATGTTCCAGCTCCAGTCATGGAAATTCTGTCCTCTTGAGGAATCACCCTTGATATTGTCAGTCTTTCCTTCACATGTAATAAATTAATTCTTAACAACTAGCCTTTTGCTTTTTCCAGGGTTTTAAATAATTCCAGCTCATGAATCATTACACCACCCTTTTGCAACAGGTATTACTGCCTCCATTTTACAGGGGAAAATGAGCTACAGGGACAAAACAAACTTCTGTCCCCCTCCTCAAACTGGGTAATACACTGCCCTGCAAGTAGTAGTCCCATGTATGTCACTGAAGTTACTTAAGGAGCAAAGTGCCACTCAAGAACTTAAATGGAGGGAAACTCTGGCTCATAAATATTACATTAGACTATTGAAAAATCCTATTTTTCAATGTAAATTCACAGTGTTTGCTCACAAACTAAAGGAGAGTAACGGCTCACTTACTTTTTGGGCAAACAGAGTCATCAAAGACTTCGTCTTCAGATCCCGAATCTTCTTCATCACTCTCAAAGCTGGACTCGTCATCACTTTCTTCCTCGCTTTCGTCTTCTTCATCTAGGAGAGGAAGGTAAAAGTGTTGGTACATACCAAAAACAGGTTCTGATATGTGCCAGGTCCGTTGGCTGTACTGCAGGCCAACAGAGCCCTAAGGAGCAACAGCATACTAGTGGATACATCCCCAGTCATCCCAATGTTTTAAGGGTGATTATCTTGTTAAGGCCTTTCCACTAATTCACTGAATACACAGGTCAAAGAAGTGGAAGAAGGATCACTCACTCCAGGAACATGTGCAGCGAAATAACACTTTTCTTCCTTTTCTGTATTCCCTTCCTCAAGTATCTCCCCACTTTCTCTGTACGTAATGCAATATATTAACTATTCTGAATCAAACAATTTGGAGTCAGTCAGCACATAGGTTTAACATTCTACTGAGGAAACTAACAAACAGAAAAGATGTGTCCAGGTAGTAAAAGATGAATTGTGTGTTGTAATTGCCAAAATTTGCTGTTTATTTATATAGTACAAAGCCTCCTTGGAATCAAATGCCAAATCAGAGAACAAATACTGAACAAATATTTCAGACCAAAACACTGCCTAATCTTAAGCATTTTAAAACTAACACAGCAAGCAAAACCTGACAAATGAATGTGAATCTTTTCATACTAAATGTTGTCACATGAGTGACATTATTAGAATGATTCTTACCACTGACTAGCCTATAATTACAGGTGAGGGGATGGTCCCATGGTAATCAAAAAAAATTGAAGGAAAATGTTATGCACACAGACACCAGACTAACAGCTATCCACACCTTTCATGTGATATCAGCAGCAGCTCTGCAAAACTTTGTCCCTTGTTCCCGCCCAACATTAATGTCTCTCAACACTGACCTAGAGGAACTGCCTTTTAAGAGTCTGTTAACACTACAAATACTGTCAAATCAGGGGCCTGGTTATAATACCATTATTTGCCAAGGTGATTACAACACACTGGCCACATCTACACAAGATGCTTACTGCACAGTAGCTTGTTACTACTGCACAGTAATAATGAGCTACTGCACAGTCAGCATCACAAAAAAGCCATTTGGTGACGTTACTACACAGTAACTCTAGTTACAGTGCAGCCATTTGGTATTTATTTATATAATTATTAAATGACTGCACAGTAAGGACTACACAGTCAGTGTCTTGTGTAGATGCAGCCACTTTGGTCTTGTAGAACAAATGGGATCTGCCCAGGTGATTTTTTTTTAACTAACTTAAGCAATGTATATGTCCAATGTTTCAGTCAATAGCAGTGGCTTCCATACTTCAAACATAATATAGAGACCTAAAGAAATGGTATTTCTAACCTGCTTCTCCTTCTGTTTCTTTCTTCTTAACACGCCTGATCTTCTTTTTCAGGACCTTAGTAAGGAAGCTGGCAAAGTTGTTGTTTTCTCCAAGGGATGCTTGGAAGGTGGCATAGAGGGCTTTCTCACGTTCCTGAAGTTTTGCAATCTCACTTTTTTTTTCTTCCATCTGTGCAAGGTAGTTGTTTAATTTCCACTAAAAAAAAATCAAAATCCAATCCTTAGGCTGAGAGAGGACTATAAGAACACTAGCCTTTTAAACTGCTGGTCCACTTCTGGTTAGCCAGGAATGGCCTTGCAATGGGCACAGGAGCCTTGGTCTGAATGAATGCCCAGCTCTCTGCCAGTAGTTCCCTGTGTAGTGCCAAGCAAGTTGTTTTCCCTCTCTTTTGTTCAGTTTCATCATAGGTAAAATGAGGATAATCACACCTGCCCCCCTTTGCAAAGTGTTTGAGATCCTCAGAGGAAACCCCTATATGAGTCCTTGTTTTGTTATGATTTATCCATTTCAGTGACTGAATTATCAAACTATATGGATACATAAAGAAGAAACAGTTGTCAAAACTGGCCATTAATCTTTACCTTGGTCTGACAAAAGCCAGGGTTGACGGTAGTTTTACAAAGAGCTTAGATTATGGATTTACATGGGATAGTTTGGATAGGGATGATCCTGCCTCAGGCAGGGGGTTGGACTAGATGACCTCTGGAGGTCCCTTCCAGCCTGACATCTCTAAGATTCTATTTTGACAGTGGTCACCCACAGCAGAACCATGGTAGGATAACAGCCTTTCATTTCACACGTCCCATAATCTGTTACATACAACCTGAGGGACAAAACGGATTCTCTATTTAGGCTTAAAATGACTGTCTCTGCATGATAATTTAGGGCATTTTTTTTTCTTGGTATGCAGTACTAAGGCATTGGCTTGGTGCACAGAGAAGCAAAGGGATCCAACCTCTTCTTTGTAGCATGTTTGTTTCCAGCCCCATCAAAAGATAAATCAGCTGCGCTAGCCTACATACTTGCATGCCCTCTTCCTCACTGATAAGGCTGTTGACACGCTCCTGAAGAATGTCCTCATGTTTCTCAAAGTTCTTGAGGAGAAGCAGCTCCTCAAACCACGTGATGTGCCGTAGGTCAGCACACTTCATCTGCATGTCCAACTTCAGCTTCTGATGCCTCAGGAGGCGGAGCTCAGCATCAAAGGTGACCACCAGCTCATTGATCTGGAGCATGTAGAAGGGCAAAATGGAGCAGGCAGATATCAGGAAATGGTGCTATGCAAGGCAACAGGAGCAGAAAAGCAAATCAAGAATTTGCCAACAGCATTTATGATGATTTACTTGGGTACTTAGGACAACAAAATTAAAATTAACTACAGAGAATGTTTTGGTATCACTGCAGAAGGAGCACATAAAACATCAGAAATGCCACAGATGCTTTTCACTGCTCAAACCACCCTCCACCCCCAAAATTATTCAAGTGAAGTGTTTCACTCCCTATAGTGTTCTAGCCTGACCTGAAGAATGTCCTGCCTCCTGCAGCAGTAAATTCATGCTACTGACCCCTGCCTTCTAAATCATCTTGCAGAATATCTGCCAATGTCTTTCTTGGGCAAGTACACTTACTAACACCTTTCAATGGCAGGCTAACCAAACGGTATTTTTAGAGACCAGTTAATATTCACTGGGCATGTCTATACATGCTATTAATTCAAAGTAGGCTTACTGTGCAGTAAACCTACTGAGAAGCATACCTACACGTGCTCCCTCTTGGGAGCAGATTTGCTCCCAGTGGGAGCAGCCTGGTACAGGGCTACTTCCACCCTGCTCTGCCCCCCTGCAGCAGCCAGGGGGAGCTTCAGGTTCCCCCTGGATACTAGCCCTGGGGCTGGCAGAGTGCATGGGGCTGGTCCCCATGCACACAGGGCCAGAAGAGAGCTGTCTCTTGGCCCCATACACATTGGGAGGGGTCCTGATAGGCACAGAGCAAGAGAGCTGCTGCTGCAGAGCTCTCCTACACTATGCACATGGGGATAAGCCCTGTGCCCAGCAGGGCTTCCCTGTGCAGCCTGGAGCTGGCTGGGACCTGCCCCTTCCCTGCAGTTGTTTCCCAATCCTGTGCCTCAATCGGGCAATCTGGACAGGGGGCCTGAGAAACAGCTATATGGGAGAGGGACTCTTCCCAGCACCTGGCCCAATCATTCAAACAGGGCACTGGGCTGGGAAACAGCTATGGAGGAGGGGTAAGTCCCAGCCCCCTGCCCTGATCCACTGGTGGGCAGCTAGCAGTGAGTCCCCAGGTGGGTGGGGATTGCCCACCCAGCCAGGGGCTTACTGCTGGCTGCCCTACCGGTAGCAGCCCACTCCGATGGGGAGCCAGGATTCCCACAGTGCTGAGACAGGGAGCAGAGAGGGATCCAGTCCCTGCACTGATCTTCTCCTGGCTCCATTCATTTAGTACCTGTATTTACAGATACAAGATAATTGTTCAGTATACTAATTTACTGTGCAATATTTTATTAGCATGGTTACTTAGTGACACTTTTCTGCACAGTAGATTAGTCTTGTGTGGACACACCCACATTGGTCTTCTAATGCTCTCTCAGCAGTATAATGCATCAGCTCCACAGTTTGATCCAAGCAGGGTCTCCTGAACTTCCAAAAGACAAGAAGTGAAAGAGTTGCTATTACAGCTCTGGGACAGATGGAAAGAAAGCTCTGTGAACTGGTTTTGTTTTGGGGATTAGAGTGGTCAGTCACTTTTAATCTCCTACCCGTTTGATCAAGGTCTCCTGTAGGTAAATGTTTTTGATCCTTTCTTTCTTGAGAGCTTCCTGGTCCATCTCTGTTGGTTCTGCCTTTTCAATCTCAAAAACCCTTGGCTGCACTGAAACAACTGAAGATGCAGTTCTCATTGATCTCACACTTGAAGCCCGTGCAGAGATATCCATTTCCTTTAGAGAAGGAGAACGAAAAAAACTTGTACGGAAGAGACCAAATGAGGAAGACTCTCCCACCTGCTCTGAAAGCCTAGTTTTTTGGTCCTGCTCCTGTTTGAACTTCTGGAGGATTTCATTGTCATACTGGAACTTTTTTTCTGGAATCTCCTCTGGGTGTAACTGAGGTATTGGGGGAACAGGGAGTTGTTCAGATGGGTCCAGGGCAGACTGTATGGATTTCAGTTCTTGCACTAGACAGTTGATCTCTTCAATAATGGCCACCTTGAGATCCCGCAGGGAGATGATCCATTTGTTCATGTTCAATTTCTTCTCATGGATCTGGAAAGAGAAGGAAAAGCAATTTTAGCATGACTTCCCAATGACACTTCTGCTGTGTAAATTCTTTCCCAACTCAGGTAAGCAATCAAGTGCACAGTCAGCATCTCTGATTCAGTTAGTCTATAAGACATATGTCTACTCTGCCTTCTAATTTGCCCAGTGCAGAAGGGTTTAAATGCTGAAGAAGGCAAAGGAAGGGAAGATCTTTACTTCCCTTTACTGTTCCTTCAATGTGGCACCTCTGCATAGTCACATTTGGGAGATCAGGTCCTCCTACTTTCAAGCTGATGGATTTCTCTAGCCAGCAGCATCTGTTAGGACCATTAGCCCTCCCTCTCCCTCATCCAGAATTCCAAGGATAGAAATATATGACAGGGCCCCTAAACAGCCAGCAGTTCCTTCCCTAATTTGGGAATTTTCCCTCACTTCAGACACTTAGGTGAAGTGGGCAGAGTATGGCTATGATGAGGCGGCACTCTCAAACAATGATGGCTAAGAGCGAGTCACCTCTTTTCCTTCTTAAAATGAATTCCACATACTCTGAGATTAGCAAGAAGCATTACCCTTTAAGGCAGTGGACATCAGTTCTAGATGGCAAGCCAAAGGAGTACTAGGAGGGACTGTTTGAAGATTACTTCAGTATCATTTCATTTATGCAAACAAATGCCTGGAAACTCTTAACTACAATCATAAGAAGAAACTAAAAAGGAGAGTGTCAAGGACACTGTGTGGAATCTATGCTCAGTGCACTTTTGATGGGTAAAAGGAGTTGAAAGGTGGAGGGATCTGCCCCTTTCCCCCCCTACCCTCCATTATATACCCTCATAATCCACTGATGTAGTGGGGGGAATGAGTGATCACAAAAGAAACTCCTTGCTACAAATTTTCCAGAGTTCAAGTGCCAGAAGGAAGCAGTCCTTCCTGTGGAATGTGCTGAGCCCACTGAAAAAAACAATATCCTCTTGGTGAGACTGTAACAAGGATCAGCCCCAAACATAGCCATTATGCTCCATGGTGGCCTTGTAACTCCTGCTCTGATCCGGCTTCCTGGGTCCCCTTCCTTTTCCCTCTCCTGCCACACCTTGAAGTAATGAACTGCTTAGTGAAAAGGGAGGCTGCCCATGGGTCTCAGATCGAGTCAGTGTTTGTTTTGCGGCCAGCTGGTCCCTCTCAGAACCACTGGTCCCAATCCTTCCCCTTACATGCTACATGGGTTCACTTGGCACCTCCATGCTAGCCCCCCACCCCCAGGGCATCTTTCACCTTAAGGGTTATTTGTGGCCTCTGACCTCCTCTGCAGTCACATCCACACCTCACAGGTGTTACCATATATTCACTTTCCTTTGTAGGGGCCTCAGGCTTCCCAGCCTCAGCCCCTTTTCTCTCACTGGGTCCTTTCTGCCTAGACCCGCTGTGCTGGACCTGGCTTCTAGGTTCCAGGCCTGCCTCACCTACTCCAATTTTTTCTCCATCCTGGTTGGGGCATTGGGCCCCTGGCCCTGTCTCCACCCAATTTGTGTTACAGTTTATGTCTTCCTCATTTTCACTATGCCATAACCCCTCTCCTGGCCACCGCTTTCTCACACTTTGAACCCAGCTTCTGGCAGGGCTCAAGGCAGTCACGCACCTCTCAGGCACTGCCGAGATCTCCACCTCCCCTCTTGTTCCAACCCAAAACACCAGTATGAATCAAAACATTAAAGCAAACAACGGCTTTAACATAAACCTTCCTTCTGGGCAAACAAAACATCAGGAAAACAAAACTACCACTTTAAAAGGAAATCTCTTCTCCCCTCATCAGGCCAGCCCTGGCCCCTGGGAGCAGCCCTTCCCTTCCTGGGAGCTATTCTCCCTGCCCCAGTGTAGCCAAACTGACTTCTTTGGCTTTGACACTGAGCTTATAAACTTCCCAATCCCTTCTAGTCAGGTGGCTCCCCAGCCATCCACAGGGGTTACTAATCAAAGCCTGATAACTATCTCTTGGAACAGCTTGCAACCACTGCTCTGGCCACCTTAACAGTGCCGATTGCCCACACAGAGCTCTGCCCTACTGTCCTATTACAAAGCAGGTAGCACTGCAATAGGTACCTAGTCTCTGGCCTCTGGATGCCTATTTCCCTGTAGCCTGTCCATAATAATCTCCCTTCCACCTGGGGACAACACCGTTGCTGCCTCTGCCTTCAAATAACAAAAACATTGAGTGTCTCTGTAACTGGGAACATTAGAAGGGTTTTTTTTGGTTAGTTCACTTAGTTTCTGGGGAAAATGTCTCAGCCACTGGATGGTACTGTTCTTTGAAGCATGAAGAATATCTGGTGTTTCCGTCAACATGCTAGAAAAGATAAATTCCCACACTTACAGTATCTGCTTAGTTAATGGTTTGCAGCTAAAGCTGACTGTGCACGGTCTGTTCTCAGCAGTTCCTACCCCACCTCCATTCCCTCTCAAGCCTTTTTTGTAGTGGCTGGTTTTCTATACTTTGCTTTCCAAAACAGGTACAATCACAGTCCAACACCCCTCCACTCTTTTTTATTTGGATTCCTTCTTCAGTTCTCACTGCTTTCTGTTCCTTCCTTCTTTTCCTCA